TTAAAAATGGAAATAAATTATTTAAAAATCTAACAATGTGATTTTCTGGAATTTTTTTGTAGATTCTGTCTCTCACAGTTGAGGTGTACCTACGATGAAAATTACAGAACTGTCCATTCTTTGTAAATGGGAAAACTTGAAAAATTGGCAGTGTATCAAATACTTATTTGCCCCACTGTATGTGCATATATGTGTTTGTACTGACGTGAACCCCCAGGCTCAGCAGGTAATGCACTGTGCTGCTCATGCCACTGGAGGCGGCTGCATGAAGTGGCGTATAGGCCTTCTTGTCCTTACAGTCGGCCTCAGCTCCACTGTCCACCAGTAACTTCACTACTTCCAGGTGACCTGAAACAGAGGAGAGAAAATGAGATGAGTCAAGTTCAATCACTCAAGACAACCCAGTGCATTTCACCCTGTCCCCTTTACTAAATTGACAGCGTATTACTCACCCATGTAGGCTGCCCAGTGAATGGCTCTCCTGTCTTTCTTGTCAAAAGCATTAATATTGGCTCCTCTAGACAGTAACAGCTTCACCATCTGAAAAAACACAAAGCAAATTAAATAGATGCTGATATATATTTGTCTTTACTATAAGTAGTCATAAGAAGAAGAGACCAACCTCTACATGTCCACTGAAGGCAGCATGGTGCAAGGCGGTGCGTCCAGCCCGGTCAGACACATTCACATTACTTAGCAGTGGTACCAGCGCCTCAGCACAGCGTACTGCCTTGTTGCTAGCTGCTACATGGAGTGGCGTTTGCCAGTTCTTGTCCCGGGCATTAACGTCTGCACTGTGCTTCAGCAAAACTGCTACTGCATCCTGGAAAGAGAATAGACATGTGACAGGATGTGCAGAAAAGGGGTGCAGACAGATTTTCTAATATGCTTCTGTGTTCTAACAAAGTAGATGCCAGTTTGTGCAGGTGGCTGTACAGCATGTTGGTGGTTATAAAAGACTTTGCTATTCTTAGGAGCCTTCATGCCTACAATAGCACTGGGAAGGAGAAATGTTGCATGAGGCTTTGTTAGTGTGGGCATGTTGCCCAGGAACAAGCAGAACAGGTCAAGAGATTCTGAAGGCTTATCAGACACCAGCACACTGCACAGTGGTTATGTCCATTTTCCCCTTTAAGGTCAGATTATATATATATTTAAAAAAAGCATCCATATTTTTGTTTATCTGCAGTGTATGGAGGATGAAAGATGACTTAATTAGAAGTAAATAAAAGAAAACTAGATTTGTAGAAATGTAGACATATAACAATTTAAAAATACATTTAAATAATGTAGTTATATATTTATGCATTTAATTATTTATTTATGTATTTATTTTAGCATTTATTCATTTATTTTCCTTTTTATTACTACATTTATTTTTTTCTATATTTATTTTAGCATATAATTATTTTGTGTTCTTTTAATTATACATTTAGTTAATTATTTATTCCTTTACTTATTTATTTTTGTATTTATTTATGCATTAATGTAATCATTTATTTATTTCTAATTAAGCCAATCTTCGTCCTCTTAAGTACGACAGACTTTTTAGAATTTGACAAAGAGTTTGTTAACGTGAGCATTGGTGGTTCAGTGGTAGAATTCTGTTTATTCATTTATTTTCCTTTTTATTACTACATTTATTTTTTTCTATATTTATTTTAGCATATAATTATTACTTTTTTCTTTTACGTAGTTATGCATTTATTTAATTATTTATTCTTTTACTTATTTATTTCTGTATTTATAGTTTGTCCATAGTAAGAAAAGCCTAACTAAAAACCTAACTGCAGTTACTAGTGACAGAGAAGAGCAGAATTACAGGATTGCAAGTGAGTCCAGTGTACACATTTAGTGTGTGTTTGTGTAATGTGTTACCTCACTACAAGAGGCGACAGCTCGATGAAGAGGAGTCAACCACTTGCTATCTTTGGCATTAACTCTGGCTCCTTGGTTGAGGACAACAGTGTGTGTGTGTGTGTGTGTGTGTGTGTGTGTGTGTGTGTGTGTGTATGTGTGGGGTGGGGTGGGGGGGGGGTGGGGGGGACAACAAGAGAGATGTCAGAGAAATGTCAACAATGGCAGACATAGCAAAGGCAAACATGGTTAGAGTTTGGAGAAATGTCTGATCATTTAGCAATATACTAGAGGCAAAACATACCAACAAGTAAAATGCAACCAATGGTTTAAAAGGCTTTCTACTTGTTGTACAGGAAAGGGGTCTTGTGAGCCAGTAGTACCTGGAAGATATAAAACTGAAATGATCCTCTTTGACACAGGGGTTAAAATAGCCCTGATGCCACACCTGTTGCTAGCTCTTCGTCCTGCTGAGAAACAGACAACACACACACCCCTACCACACACCTCTTGTGTTACAACTGGGTTGACCCCACCTCCTGACATTCTTATCTGACTTCACAGAAAGCTAGATTTATCAGATGATTGATTAATCCCAGGAAATGTCACCTATTACCAAGAGAGCAGTGAGTAGACACACAAGTTTGGAAACTGCTGAGGAAATAAGCAAAGATGAGAGTGATGAGAAATAGACAGGTCTCTGAAGAGGAAAGGAAATGTAACACAGAGGCTATAAATTATATATTATTTTGGAGGGGGGGGATAGATCATCATCTTGTTCATAGTTAAGTTTTAATCATTGTAAACACTGTCTTGATACAGCTCATTATACTTAAATAAGGTAAATCAACATTACTTTGGTTTCAAGCTCTAATAATAGTATTTCTTGGAAAAATCTGCTTTGCATTGTAAAATTATTTTAATATAAATCTCAAGAAAAATTATGAAATTAAGATTTTAAGACTCTTCGCTATAATAAATGAACTGCCAATACAACTTTGCAGTGTGAATATGGTGATAAATGAAGATTTAATGAGTATGAACACATTTACGAGAGGTAATATAGATGCAAACAAAGGAATAGCTGTTAAAAGCCAGTGTGGATGGATGACTAAGTTTTAAAGTGGAACTGACTAGAGGTGGACAGGGTTCCCTGACAGACTAGTGGTGCTCTCGCCGCTGCGGCCCAGGTTCGAGTCAGGGTTCCGTCAGGAAGGGCATGCGGCGTAAAACATGTGCCAAATGTCAACATGCGAATCATCAGTGTGCCAATGCGCTGTGGCGATCCCTAACAGGAAAAGCCGAAAGTGACATTTCATTTCATTTGACTAGAGGTGAATAGATATTAGTTGGAAACAGAATCAAATACATGGCTGAAAAGATTATCAGTGATGCCATCTTAGCAAGTTTGTTACTAGATTTACTTTTTTCAAAAAACTGGCTAGGGACAAATTGAGCGACTTTTAGGACAGAGTAGTTTCTCTGGAGAAAAGTCATTAAGACTGCCTGTGAGGTCCTGCAGGCAGAGACATGAATGAGCTGTGCATGTGCATGCCAGAGCTGGTGTTTCATCCTTATTGATATTTTCCCACAGCTTGATATATGCTGACTGAATGGTTAATGTATCTATATATAACATTTTTCAGTTAACAATAAGGCAGCAGGTGAAAGAAATACTGTCAGGGCATTCATGTCTACATGTAGAAAGTTACAGTCTCTCTATACCTGCATAAATATGAAATATTTGTATGTGCTTCTTTCATACAAGCTTACCCTTTCATATTGGCATAGCAGACTGTAAACTTAGATTGTTATTACACTTATTGTTACTTCTGTTGAGTTTGATTCAGTTTTAATGGCATGGAAGTATTGAGTATACGATGATGTCATCAAATTAGCACGTGATGTCATCTAGCAACCTTTCCAGCAGGCTTTACCAACTTTCCATTGAAATTAGTTGGCAACACTGACTGTAGCTAGCAGAGCTGGGCCGTAGTGTTTACCTGAGAGGATGAGCAGTTCAATGATCTCAGCATCTCCCAGGTAGGCTGCAGCATGCAGTGGTGTCCGCTTCTCATTGTCCTGACAGGGGATTAAAAAAAAACACACCAAAAAACGAATTAGACTAGAGTATCATTTCTCTTTTTTATACAGACACGGGCTTTGTAACGAATGCTCACATATCACGAATGAGTGAAGGTACATATGACGTGCCCTGAACAAAATCCAAAGCCGTCACACTACTGCAGACCACAAGAAATGTAAGACAGCAGCCACAGGGGGAAAATGTTCATCATCCATTCAGTTGTATTCTTCGCTTCGCTCTATCACTCCACTACACCCTGCCACCACACCCCCACATCGCTTTCTTTCAGTGCAGTAAAAGCAATCAGCAGAGTGGGGCTATAAACAAATGCTACATGCATGCATTTAGTCTGGGTCAGTGCTGCTGACTACAGAAGACTCAGTGTGATGACCAAGCACTATAGAGCCATAGAAAGCCAGGAGCGCAGAGAGAATAGACTGGAATGGGCTGTAAACTGAGGAAATATATTCAGGGAGAGAAATGTGGAGGGAGGAAAAAAAGGAGAAAGATCAGGTGAATGTCATGTCCTTAAACCATAGAAAACGATGGGGTGTTACAAACTGTTCAGGTGTCCTGTCCTGGTTGACAGCTATAGAAAATGAGGAAGGTAAGAAGCTGCCAAAAGGCACTCTCAGTCAGTCAATCGATTGAAAAAAGAAAAAAAAAAACTCAATCAATTGTCAGTCTGCTGGCTGACTGCTGCTGTCTTGGTGCTGTTTTGTGTTTCATGGTGTGTGTGTGTGTGTGTGTGTGAAGCCATAGTGTCAAAGACCAATGTATAGGAGTGCAATGATAAAAACATTCAGTTGAAAGAGTAATAAGAGTGACTTACTTGAATGTTGACATCCTCTTTCTTGAATATAAGGGAGCGAACTTCATCTGGGTCCACGTTGAAGATGGCTCTTAACAGAGATGGCTACAGAGACCAAAAAAAAAAAAAAAAAAGATGAGGAAATGCTGGCGCACATTACTACAGCCTCGATTGGCAAGGCAGTACTTTTCTATGCTGACAACTGTGTTATCAGTGAGAGTTATGATGGGAGAATCTCACACACAGACTATAATCCTGAGCTAGGAAGGAGCCATACAGTAGGTCACAAAAGGCTTTATATCACCAAATGTGTTTATGACACTAGCTGCTGTAGAATATAACACATAAATACATGCATGCAGCATTAGGTGGATATTTGAGTCTGTCTGTTGCAGCTGTTGCCGTGTGGCATGAGGCCAGATAAAAAGAATATAAACAGCAATGTAAAAGACAAGTGAAATATGGAGGAAATTTCTATAAATATCAAAGCATTTCCATGACACCACAAGGACAGTTTCAACATGCTATACAAGGTATGGTTGATTTTAGAAGTCAAATTTCTCTAGAAGGAAGTGGCAAATAAATAAGATCACACTTCCTTATTACTATCTATCACCTTAGTTTAATTTACATCTGTGTGGCTAACTCTACACAGTTGGCATGAGCGTAAGAGCATGGTGCTGTCTGATACTGAGTGGGGTCTGTTAACAGTGTTGCTGAGCAGTCACATAAGAGCATGGTGCTGCCTGACACTGAGTGGGATCTGTTAACAGTGTTGCTGAGCAGTCACCTTGAGGCGGTACTGCTGAGCAACAGAAGAGCAGGAGTCCACTACTCTCTCTTTACTGTTACCTGATAAAATGTTTACTTGTTTCATTATGTTCTAGACTAAGAAATTTCTCTAAAAAATAATATTGATAATACAGAGCTTTTCTTTAAGCTGCATTAGCGGTGAAAATTGTGACAAGGGGAACAAATTTAAGAACGTTGACATGGTGCTACTGATTTTAAGGGAGAGCCTAATATGTGCGTTTCAAATTTCAAAGCCTTTCTACATTATTGTATACTGCCATTCCCTGATTTGCAGTATACTAACTATATGAAGCTTATAAAATCCTATCTCATTGATAAACTTTTTTTTACATGTACTCTTTCACTGTGATAAGAGCTGTGATACTTGTGATGTCATTCAGCTTTACATGATGTGAGCCTGCTTGTTACCTCAGCCTTACTCTGTTTCCCTCATGCCTCTCTCATTTTATCCTAACTAAAAATAAGTGGGGCTGTCAGGCATATCAGCATCTGTCTCATGCCTATAACACTGATGACCACTGAAACTATGACAGAGATCACAGAAGAGTACAAACCCTATCATCAGAGCCAGCACATCTACTCCGGCTTTCCCCTTTGTCAGAGTACAGTTCAAAGAGCAGCTTTCACAGAATGAATGACTTATGTTTACTGCTAGGCTTGCCCTTTATACAGCCAACACTGGAGACTACAAAAGGGACAACCTGTGCTGATAATCTATACAAACCACAGACATCTCATATGGCAGGGCTATACTGGTGACTATACATCTCTTGGCAGTACATTGTATTGCATTGGGCACTGAATGTGTAACTATATACTTCAGGACAGGTAGGAGACAGCGAGCTGTCTACAGTACACTTACATAATAAACCCTAAATGTGGCAAAAGCTCAGATGAAACAAAGATTCAGCAAACTGTAGTTCAATCAACAGTGAACCAAACAGAAGAGCCCATCTCACCTTGTCGTCCTGAGCGGCAGCCCTTCGACGGGCATGATGGGATCTTAAGTCTGGGGATGATTTGGGCCAAGGAGGTGGGGGTGAAGAACAGGACTCATCCTCCTCCACCTCCTCTAGCACCACGATACACACACGGCTAGCCCGCTCTGACCGCATCAGGAAAACCCACTCACACACACGCTCGCTCACACGCACATATATACCAGCACATAAATACACGGTATTCCCTCTTACATATGTGCTCAATTCAGGAAAGTCAGCAAAGGTCAGCAATAAATCCTATAAACAGGGCGATTTCCAGGTAAACAAACCCAGCACATCTTCATGTAAAATCCAATATCAAATCCAACTCTTGTTTCTATCCGCCAGTGCTGCTTTCCCGTTTCCTCTCTCCTCCCCGTCTAACCTCCACTCACACTCTCTGTGAGCAGCAGTAGCGGAGACAGCAGGGAATTCGTACGCATAATGGTGGCAGTAAGCAGCATGCGGCAGAATGAGCTTGGGCTGCCTAGCAGCGCACAGGAAGTAAATTATCCTCACTGCTGTGCTGCGGCCAGAAACACACAGATGACAACACACACAGACCCTGTGATTAGCGTGGAGGGGGGCAGTAGCACCCAGCGTATGTGTGGGAATGCGTTGCTCATTTCAGGCAGACTGCTGAAGCCAGTTCTTTCAAATGAGATGGAGGAAAGGGAGGAGGAAGGGAGAGAGAAGAAACACATTGAAAGAAAATGGGAGAAAAACAAATACAAAGGGGTTGACGAGAGAGAGAGAGAGAGAGAATAACTGTAGACAGGTGCCTAGAGCTCAACACCACACAAAACAAAACAGAATGAAGTAAAAATGAATAAAGCAAAGGTCAAAGAGGGGGCAGAGGATAGCAACAGCAGCCAACATGTTAGAAAAATTTGATAGAGGAAGAAGATAGCTTACCAAAATTGTATTTAAAGAACAGAAAGAGACAGGGGAGAGTGAAACAGAAAAATGTAAAAAAAAAAAAAAAAAACTAAAAGGACTGAGGGACAGTTAGAGCCCTACTCTAATGTCTAATTGTTAACATGTCACTTCCTAGATAGTGCTGAGACACAGGTCCCCTCAAGTTCATGGGTAAGAGTGTTATCACTGTTTCACACTGACCAGCAAACACATTAAAACCACTGACAAGTGAAGCAAAAAAACATCAATTATTTCGTTATAATGGCAGCTTTCAAGGCGTGGGATAAATTAGGCAGCAAGTGAACAGTCAGTTTTTGAAGTTGATGTGTTGGAAGCAAAAATAAAAAACAGGGCAAGTGTAAGGATCATAGTGACTATGGCCAGAGCTAAATTCTGATGGGTAGACGACTGGGCCAGAGCATCTACCAGTGACAGGACCATGTGTGCCCAAGGCTCACTGATGCACTTGGGAAGCGAAGGCTAGCCCGTCTTGCTAGCCCGTTTGCACAGAAGAGTTACTATAGCACAAATAGTTTAATAACATAATGCTGTCTATGGCAGACAGATGTCCGCTTGTTGTATACAGCGTTTCATAGCTGTGGGATAGTCAGAGTGCCCATGTTGACCCAGTTCCTTTGCCAAAAGTGCCTGTTGTGGGTGTCAGAAGTGGATCATGGAGCAATGGAAAAAGGTGGCCTGGTCTGATGAATCACATTTTCTTTTACATCCTGTGTGCAATGCTTGACTGGGGAAGAGATGGCACCAGGATGCACCATGGGAAGATGGCAAAGCCTGCAGAGGCAGTGTGATGCTTAGGGCAATGTTCTGCCAGGAAACCTTGGGTCCTGCCATTCATGTGGATGTTACTTTGACACGTACGAGCTACCTCAACACTGCTGCACACCAAGTACACTCCTTCAGTGGCAGGAAAAACAGCAGGATGCAGTGCTCTGTCACACTGCAAAAATGGTTTAGGAATGGTTTGAACGACATGACAAAGAGCTCCCTGTTGCCTTGGCCTCCTAATTCCCCAGATCTCAGTGCAATGGAGCATATGTGGGACATGCTTGAAAAACAAATTTGATCCATGAAGGCTCCACCTCACAACTTACAGGACATCAAGAATTTGCTGCCAACATTGCAGTATCAGATGCCAGAGGACTCCTTCAGAGGTCTGTGGAGACTTTGCCTCAATGGGTCACAGCTGTTTTGGCAACACCAGAGAGATCTACACAATATTAGGAAGGTGGTTTATGTGTATTGTACTGACAAATGTGCAAATGAAATTCTGGTTTTACAATAAAGAATGATAGTGCAGCACTACTGAGTCTTTATTGACAGCCTGTTATTTCCAGCAACCAATGCCATGTTAGTTGAAAGCTTCTTAGATTTTTACCCATTTGAAATTTTGTAAATAAGATTTCATTGGTCTGCATCTTCATAAAGTTGATGCTAAAATAGAAGAGGTCTTTCCTTTGAAATATGAGAAAGTACAAGAAAATGAAAACCAGATCAGTGTGTTTATGAGGTAGTGTTCTAGCTTCCTCTTCAGTGTAACAGTGGCACAGCTTCAAAAGTCCAATCTCCTCATTATAAAACTGGAACAAACTGATTTTGCCAGAGAATGTGAGGGTAGCTAACAAGACCAGTGTGTACGTGCATGACTGTCTATGTCAGTCTCCATCATATTCAACACAGACCCTAAAAAGAGCCAAACCACACAACCCCATTAACAAAGTAAGCGAGAGCAGAGGCAGAGAGTTATTTGAATGGAGGCTTTCTGCAGACCTAAATTTTGACTCTAACAAACTCAGCATTTATAACTTCATGTGAAACACAGCTACATTTTTTCTGTCCCTACAACAAATGAGCTGATGTTACAGGATTTGCATCAAATGCATGATGTTTGCTATATAAACAACCAACCAATATTTTGTCTATCCACTTGCAAACACTGTAGGACTCTCAGCAGTGCAGCCCAGAGATGTTTACAGAGTAGATGTGTTTGCCAGACAGAAATGAGTTTTTCTGTAAACCGTTGGTGTATTCATGTGTGGTTAAAAATGTAATTGGGTTTCAAAGCAAAAAGTCAAGGTAAGAAAGTAGATGGAATTGGTTGGAAATCTTTTACACATAGTACACACTGAGCAACAACAAAAATCTGAGCATAGGAAGTATAGCCTTACAACAAAAACTGAAATTTGTAACGTGTTGGACTTGTGTTTTCATGAGACACAGCAAGGAGATCCAAGGATACGCTTACAGAAGGCAAACCCAATCTTACTGCAAAAACATGTACAACCACAACAGTATCACATACACCCCAAAATAGAATCACAGTACAACCTATGACCTTCATGAGACCCAACATGACAGTGCGCATGTGAAAGTATGCAGGCCTGCACTGACCTCTGCTCTGACCCTGCAACAGGATGCATTTAATGTGATTCCCAGAAACGCAAAGGCCAGCATGTGTGGGCACACGTGTGAGTGTGCTGGAACACATACAACAGTAATGACAATGCTGACATCTACAGATTACAATGATCTTAAAGATCAAGAGAAGGTGATCTGTAATAAAGCTTTGCTGACATGACATTCTATGATACGTGCACTCTGACTCAAGTTCAAAGTGTTTATTTGTCATATGCACAATTAGGAAACATGTTTCCCTGTACAATGAAATTCTTACCTTGCCATCTACATGAATGCTACAAAATACAAATGAAATATAAAGTAAATAAATAACACAAAATCTAAGGCACTTAAAGTGGCAAATGCAGCAATATAATAAAATATATAAGAATATAATAAGAGAATGTATGCTACATGGGAGCAGCATGTGCAGCAGTCAACAGTCATTGTGCAATTATGCATGTGCAAACTGAGAATGTAAACAGTACATGACGTATTTCCTGGTAATAAACTCCTCAGCTGTTTAGGAGTCTGATGGCAGAGGGAAAGAAAGAGTTTTTCAGTCTAGAGATCCTACATTTCACACTTCTGAACCTCCGGTCAGAGGGTTGGGAGGTGAACAGTCCATGCTGGGGGTGGGTGGGATC